CGTGTGAGACAGAAGAAGAGATATTAATTGTTTTGGGGCTGTCTCCAGTGCCCCCAGAGCAGCGTGAAGGCCCTGCAGTGCAGGTTTAAAGTGCTGCTGAAAGAGCAGCACAAGAAGCTGTCTTTTATTTTATATTGTAAATCCTTTAAAGAACACAAGTTAATGAAGGGGCCCCCCTTAATAGGTATATATATATATATATATATACATATATATATATATATGGGGGCCCCTATAAACACAAGCGTTATCCTAAAGGGCTCTTATAAGGGCTTCTGTTTGAGGTCTCTGCAGACATTCTTGTAGGGGCCCTTATGCCCTAATAGGGGCCCCTGTGGGGGCCCCCTTAGGGGGTATTGTAGGGGCTTTTATAAGGGTTATTATAGGGGCCCTAGTAGGGGGTGTTAATAGAGAGGCATTTAGAGGACTTCTAATGGGGGCCCCTATACGAGAGAGAGAAGGAGGAAATATATATATAAAGATATATATATATATATATATATAGAGAGAGAGAGAGAGAGAGAGACAGACAGAGAGACAGACAGACAGACAGACAGACAGACAGACAGACAGACAGACGGAGAGAAGCAAGAGAGAGAGAGACAAGCAAAGCCAGATAATAAACATAACAGTGTAGGGTTGTGAGGCATCAGAGAGAAGGAGACACCCAATAGTTGTTGCTTAGCAAAGGAGGCTGATAGCCTCTCCTCTGTCTCTATTTACTGTCTCCTTTTATATTTAGAAGACATAACAACAGACAAAGAAGCCCTATCTCTCTGTCTCCTTGTAAGAGACAGTTAAAGAGACAGAGGGCCTCTTGCTGTCTCTAACCTGTTTCCTTATAGGAGACAGATTAGAGACAGCAAGAGGCCCCCTCTCCTTATCTAGCTGTCTCCTCTTCAGAGACAGTGCAGAGACAACAGCACCCCACAAGGGCCTTCAAGACCCAACTCGGGAGAGGAGACAAAAAAGAGACAGAAAGGAGACAGAAGACATAAAGAAAAGACAAAGGAGACAGAGTGGAGACAGAAGACATAGAAAGGAGACAGAGAAGAGACAAAGGAGACAGAGAAGAGACAAAGAAGACAGAGATGAGACAAAGGAGACAGAGAAGAGACAGAAAGGAGACAGAGAAGAGACAGAAAGGAGACAGAAGAGGCAGCAAGGGGATAGAAGAGACAGCAAGGAGACAGAAGGGGGGCAGGAGACACAAAGGAGACAGAACGGAGACAGAAGAGGGGCAGAAAAGGTACAAAGTGCGACAGAAATAAATGAAGAGAAAGGAGACAGACAAATTATTAACGCAGGGACAGCAAGAGACCCTTCGTTGGCTACATCTCTCTCCTCTCTCTCTCTCTCTCTCTGTCTCTCTCTGTCTGTCTCTGTCTCTGTCTCTGTCTCTGTCTCTCTCTGTCTCTCTCTCTCTGTCTCTCTCTCCTGTCCCTCTGTCTGTCTGTCTCTCTGTCTCTGTCTCTCTTTCACTCCACCGGGCTCACGAATCAGCAAAACAAACACAGACAAATACCCCTCTCTATATACAACCTATACTCCAGAAGCCCTCAAAGACCCCCGAGGGGCCCCCAAAGGCCCCCCGGGGGGCCCCCCGGGGGGCCCCCAAAGGCCCCCGAAGGACCAGTAGAGAGCAGAGAGGGGGGGGAAGGGGGCCCTATGTGCATAGAGGGCAGAGAAAGGGCCCCTTGGGGCCCCCTTGCTGTACCCTGGTTGTGTGTGTGGGGTCGTGCAAGCATAGAAAGGAGAGTTTGAAGTGTATGGATAGCGGGGTGTACAGGCAGCTGCTAACGGCCTCTGACTGGCAGCAGCCAGAGAAGCAAAGCATCAAACCTGTTTACTTGTAGCAGCAGATTGCTGCAGAAAATGCAGCAGCTACTGCTGCTTGCGGCCAGGCAGGAGCTGCAGCTGCTGCAGCAGCAAGCTGCTCGTTTGCTGCTGCTTCAGCAAGCAAGAGACATATCCCCTTCGCGGGGTGTATTGACAGTGTAGACGGCCTTATTAACTCCAAAGGCCCCCCAAACAAACAGAAGAAAATAAACACGCAGAAGCACTAAGAGGTAGAGACACCCCAGTTAGCTGTAGTAAAAATGTCTCTCTTCCTGCTGCTGCAGTGCTGCTGCTGCAGTGCTGCTGCTGCAGTGCTGCTGAAGTCCTCCAGCGTTGCTGCACCAAGCCAGTAGTGGTAGCAGAGCAGCAGCACTTGCAGCAGAAAAACATCTCGCTGCTGCTGCTGCAGCAGACACACACAAAAGCAGCAGCAGAGTAGCAGCAGAGACACCTCGGGCCCTTCAGTGTGGGGCCGGGGGGCCCCATGGACTTCGTTTGAAGTGCCTTACCACAGGGGATCGATAACAGTAGCAGGAGCAGCAGCAGCAGCAGCAACAGTAGCAACACGAGCCGTAGCAGCAGCTGTTGCAGTGTAGCAGCAGCAACGGCAGCAGAAATCACGGCAGCACAAGCTGCAGCCGCCCGCTATGAGCTCAAACCCCATACTAACAGCAGCATCAATAGCAACAAATGCAGTAAGAGCAGCAGCAGCAGCAGCAGCAACAGCAGCAGTAGCAGCAGCAGCAAGTGCACGTTGACTCCTCCCTGCGGACAGCAGAGAGGCAGCAAAGCCTGGGGCGTCTGTGCGTTGCGAGAAATGTTTGTGATGTCTCTTAATTAATTATTTTTAAAACAATACATCAGAAACTCAATAGCAAAAGAAATCATTTACTTCACAGCAGCAGCAGCAGCAGCAGCAGCAGCAGCAGCAGGTCGCCGCGAGCCACGGGACCACTGGCGGAGACCGCATGCACGAAAGGTGCAGCTCTTGAGGCCCTTTAGGTTTAAAATTTCTTTGATTTTTAGTTATAAAAGAAAGAAATAAATAAATTAAATAACAAGCCCTCTGTCAAGTGTTAGTGCTGCTGCTATTCTGCTGCTGGGGGTCGGCTCAACAGCAGCAGTAGCAGCAGTAGCGGCAACGACACAGCAGCAGCAGCAGCAGCAGCAGCAGCAGCAGATGCTCTTAGTAGTCTGAAAGCTGCTGCTGCAGCACGCAGTCAAATAATCTGCATTCAGAAGAGGAGGACCAGAAGCAGCGTACGCTGCAGCAGCTGCTGCAGCACAAGCAGCAGCACCAGCAGCAGCGGGAGGAGCCGCAATTACAGTGGTATCCACTACAATAGGAGCTGCGGCGGCTGCACCCTGCAGCACTTTCACAAGCAGCAGCAGCAATAGCAGCAAGAACATCAACAGCAGCAACAGCAGCAGCAAATTCAACTTAGGGATCCCCCTGTGCACAGCAGCAGCACGGGCTACACATCGTGCTCAGCAGTGGCATCAAGCAGCAGCTACTCTAGCAGCAGTGCCAGCAGCAGCAGCAGCAACAGCAGCAGCAGCAGCAACAACAACAGCAGCAATAGCAACAGCAGCAGCAGCAGCAGGATTATGATTATTTGACTCAGCGCAGCAGAACCTTCTGCTCATATATAGCGCATGAGGGGCCTCTCAGCATAGGGCCCACCAAAGATCTCCGCAGCAGCGGCAGCAGCAACCCCACGTACTGCTGCTGCTGCTGCTGCTGCAGCTGCTGCTGCTGCTGCTGCTGCTGTTTGCAGCAGCAGAATGTCTCAAAGCAAAGTCTACCCCCAAGAAGGCCCTAGCGCTGTCTCTCATTTAACTGTCCCTTCGCGCTCTATTCGCGCTTCCGGGTGTCTCCTTAATGAAGAGGAGGCAGCAGCAAATGAAGAAATGCATGACGAAACAGCATTAAAGCAGCAGCAGCAGCAGCAGCAGCAGCAGCGGATGGCTTCTTCTGCTGTGGGGGGCCCCACACTGGGGAGCTCAGCAAGGGGATCGCGTCTCCCGAGGTCTCCTATTAGCTACAGAGACAGTGGTAGGCCGGGTGTATGTGCAGCAGCGCCTCAGGGGTCTGATGCTTCGTTGCTGTCTCCTGCTGCAGCAGGTGCTTCCGCGCCCTTAAAGAATGGTTCTGCTGTACAGGAAGAGACAGCAGCAGCTTGCTGCAGCAGCAGTTCTATGCGTAACTCCTTGTCTTACATGGAAGCTGCAGCAGCAGATTCTGCTGCTGCCGGTGCCGTTGCTGCTGCTGCTGCTGCTCCTGCTTGGGGCGGAGTAGAAGGGTCTATTAACAGCAGCAAGAGAGGAGGAGACAGCCGATGCAGCAGCAGACGACAGCATAGTGGGAGCAACCGCAGCAGCAGCAGGAGGCGGCGCAGCCGGAGTCGTAGCCGTAGCAGCAGCAGCAGCGGCGGCAGCAGCAGCGGCAGCGGAAGCCGCAGCAGCAGCCAGAGCAGCAACAGCAGCAGCGGCCCCCTCAGCAGCAGCATAGCTCTTGATGTTGAGGCTCTTAATAAAGCTTCTTATACGAGGGCCCCCCTAGGGTCTTTTAAAGAAGCATTAGTGTGTATGAAGCTGAGAGAGTTTGCACGGTCTCATCACGGTGTCTTCGGTCTATGTACGAAGAACGAAGTAATTAGCTGGATATTTTTTGTTCAGTTTCTTGTTGTCTTGGTTGCTCTAATGTCTCTTGAAGATGGAGACAGCAGCAGCAGCAGCAGCAGCAGCAGCAGCAGCAGCAGCAGCAGCAGCAGTGGGGAAGGAGGGGGATCTTTGTGGGGTCTGGAGCCGAAGTCAATATTATTAATAAATGTGGTGTATACGCAGCTGCAGCTCTTCTTCTTTCTTTGCTCTGTCTTTAATACTCTTCTTTGGCCAGGCTTATATAAATACTTTTTTTGTGCTTATTCTATTAAACTCTGGAGACTCGTTAAAAAGCATAAAATTAATATTCGGATACCGCAGGCTGTCTTAAGAGAAGTTCAGGCTACTGGGCCCATCGCACCTTCAGGTGTACATGCACCTCTGTCTCTTCTTCTTATGCTGTCTCTTCTTTTATTGCTGTCTCTGCTGTCTCTTCTTTTATTGCTGTCTCTGCTGTCTCCTCTTTTATTGCTGTCTCTGCTGTCTCTTCTTTTAATTTTGTTTTTGTGCCTACTGCATTTTTGCTGTCTCCTTTCTGCTGTCTCTTTAGTTAATATTCTACATTTGCTTTTTGCCTCCTCCACAATATTATTTCTTTTTTGGGTGTCTCCTTACTCTTCCCTCAGTTGCTGCTGCTGCTCCTGCTGCTTCTCCTGCTGCTGCATCTACTGTTGCTGCTTCTGCTGCTACAACTCGTTCATCCTGATGCTTCTGCTGCTGCAGCTGCTCCCAACTACAGCTTCTACCTCGCGTGCTTTACATTGCTGCTTTTTCTTCTGCTGTTGCTGCTGCTGCTGCTGCTGCTGCTGCTGCTGCTGCTGCATGCAGAGTGTGTTCCCCCCTGCAGCAGCACGGGGATGTATCTTGAAGCGCATGGACATTCTCTTCGGCAGCAGCTGCAGTTTTGGCTGCGATCTCTGTTCTTCTGGTGGCGCAGCAGCAGCAAAGGAGGAGGCCTCGGAGCTGTCTCCGTCGTCTTCTATGTCGGCCAGGTAGACAGCGACTGTCTCCCTCACGGCTTTGGTCGCTGGCACTCGGATGCATTTCACGGGGAGTCTCTTGTGGGGTACTGGCATCATGGTAGGTGTCTCCTTTTGTCTCTCTTTTTGTCTCCTTTTGTCTCTTTCTGTCTCCTTTTGTCTCTCTTTTTGTCTCCTTTTGTCTCTCTTTTTGTCTCCTTTTATGTCTCTTTTTGTCTCCTTTTGGCTCTCTTTTTGTCTCCTTTTGTCTCTCTTTTTGTCTCCTTTTATGTCTCTGTCTGTCTCCTTTCATGTCTCTGTCTGTCTCCTTTCATGTCTCTCTTTCTGTCTCTTCTTGTGTGTCTTTCTGTCTCTATATCTATCTCCTTTTATGTCTCTTCTTGTCTCCTTTTATATCTCTTTCTGTCTCCTCCTCTGTCTCTTTCTGTCTCCTTTTATATCTGTCTCCTTTTATGTCTCTTTCTGTCTCTTCTTATGTCTCCTTTTCTGTCTCCTCCTCTGTCTCTTTCTGTCTCCTTTTATGTTTGCTTTCTGCTGTCTCCTTCTGTCTCCTTTTCTGTCTCTTTTCTGTCTCTTTTCTCTCTCGTCTCCTCCTCTGTCTCTTTCTGTCTCCTTTTATATCTGTCTTCTTTTATGTCTCTTTCTGTCTCTTCTTATGTCTCCTTTTCTGTCTCCTTCTCTGTCTCTTTCTGTCTCCATTTATATCTCTTTCTGTCTCCTTTTGTGTTTGCTTTCTGCTGTCTCCTTTTGTCTCCTTTTCTGTCTCTTTTCTGTCTCTTTTCTCTCTCCTTAGGCGAGCCAATGCCTATATTAAATATATATATATATATATATACATATATATAGTTATATATATTAAAAGTCAGTGCATATATTAATAAATATCTTTATGTACGTAGCAACAAAGTGTCTCCTTTCGGGTGTCTGTCTCCTTTTGGGTGTCTCCTCAGGCCAGCCAATGGGGCCGTTTAAGAGCAGAGAGTTCGGCACGGGCTCAGGCTTCATGTGCATCCGCATAGCCTGGTGCAGAGCAAGGAAAGGCCCTCTAGGCTTTGATACTTCCTTTGGTAACTGCTGCTGCTGCTGCTGCTGCTGTTGCTGCTGCTGTTGCTGCTGCTGTTGCTGCTGATGCTGATGCTGATGCTGATGGTGGTGCTGATGTTGCTGCTGATGGTGGTGTTGCTGCTGATGGTGATGATGGTGCTGCTGTTGTTGCTGCTGTTGATTCCTCATGCTGCTGCTGCTTTTGCTGCTGCTGCTACTACTGCGTGTACAACTACAAATACCTAAGCCCCTAATACTGCTGCATCTGCATCTGCTGCTGCTGTTGCACCTGTTACTACTACTACTGCTGCTGCTGCTTTTGCTGCTGCTGCTGCTGCTGTTCAGGTGTATCTGATGCGGAGTGTTGCGTGAGCGGCGCATTTTTCCGGACATTTCCGCGAGTGACGATGTACTCAGTAGAAGGGCATTTAAGCGAAGAGACGGTGCAGCAGCAGCTATTAAATATAGCTAAAGATCTCATGGGTTATAGAAAACCGACAGCAACTCTTGGTGTGTCTGCTGCTGCTCATCTTCATTCTGCTGCTGACGACGACGAAGACGAAGAAGACGAACACCATTTCAATGCAGCAGCCCCAAGGCAAGCCTCATGCAAACGAAGACAGCAGCAGCAACAGCAGTAGCAGCAGC